CCCCGTATGTCCTGTGAGGGGGCAGGGGGAGGGGGCGCGGGGTGCGGGGCGGTGGGCATAGGCTGGCGGCCTCGGGTGCTGGGCGGGGAGTCCGCTGCGGGAAGCTAGCAGGGGCCGAGGCCAGGGTGACGGCGGCTGCAGGGTGAGGCCTGGTTGGGTCCGGGTCAGTGTTGAACTTGGAGCCAACAGGGCTTGCTGGAAGGAGGGATGCAGAGTGTGAGCGAGGCAGAGGGGCAGCTCCTGGGATGGGGGTTCAGGGGGCAAATCAGGGGTCAGCCCTGATGCCTGCAAAGCCCCAGGCCTGAGCTTCTCTCTGGCTTGGTTTGGGGTTTTGTTGAGGTGAAACTCCCGTTGCGTACAGCGAACCCCTTTGAATACCCCGTCCAGGGGCATTAGTGCCCTTGCAGTTTGGGGGGCTGCCAGTCTCTGAAGGGAGTGATCGGTACCCAAAGCCAGCTCTCTTCCCCCTTCTCCTCCCTCTCCTCTGTCCCCGAACCCCCTCCCCTCCCCTCCTCCCCCTCCCTACCGTTTCATTTCCTTCACTGGCTGTCTTGCCTCACGTGGGTCGAGTGTTTCCACGGCCTGTGTAGTAGGAAACAAAGTCGGGACCTTCAGCCCACCTCCCTGTTCCCAGCACAGCACACAAGGGACCCTCTGCATCTGGGTGATCTCCCCGTGAAGGAGGAGACACAGGGTTGTCTGCTGACCCCCAAACTCAATCAGGCCACCCCGCACCAGCCCCACCGGCCAGGGTTTCTGGAGAAGCCGCACTGGCTGAGCCTGCTGGCTCTGGGGTGGGCAGTGGGCTTCCAACCAAGGTCTCTAACCAGATGGCCTCTGTCTCTGGGGGGACAGGGCTGCCCCTCTGCCCAGCCAGGATGCTGCTCACGCGCAAGCACGGGAAGTTCAGGCTCCTTCCTGTTTTGAAGCATGACCTTGGGGTTCTGAGCGATGCTGAGGAGGGGCCAGCACCCATGTCAGGAGCAGGATGGAGGGCCTAGGCCTCTGCCAGGCCTTTCTCCTAGCTCTGAGGACCTCACCCCACCTATGGATGGAAATGCCATCTAGGGAGTGACTCCCAGATTTCCATCACCAGCCTGGCCCCATCGTGGAGCACTGCACTGGGATGAGCAGCTGCCCTTGCCCCACAGACGCTTCCCAGCCGAGGGGTCCTTTCAAAACGTAGAGCAGACCACATAGGGCAGATCACACTCTGCTCCAAAGCGTCCCGGGGCTGCACTTGCTGGGGGTAAACACCAAAGCCACAGGCCCAGCAGAGCCACGGGCCAGCCCCCCGCCCCCGCCCTGCGAAAATGTTAGTTGAGATATTTTGCCCACTTTAAAAAGTTGGGTTTTTTGTGTTCTTACTAGGTTTTGAGAGGGGTCTGGGTGCATTCTGGATGGGGAGCCTTTGTCAGAGAGACAAGCTGCAAATGTCTCCTCCTGCAGCTTAACTTTTCATTCCCCTGACGGCGCCTTCAAAGAGTGGGCGTTTTATCAATTTTTATGAAGTCTCATTTGCCAATTTTTTTTCAATGGATCATTGCGTGTGGAATTGTATCTAAGAAATCTTTGCTAACCAAACGTCAGGGATATCTTCTCCTACATTTTCTTCTAGCGGTTTACTTTCTGAAGTCTTTGAGTTAGGATGATGATGCAATTTGAATTAATTTTTTAAAAGAGTGCAAAGTATGAATCAAAGTTCTTTTCTTTTTTCCCCGCTTTGGAGAGTCAGTTGTCCCGACATTGTGTGTTTTTCTCCACTGAATGGCCTTTACTCCTTTGTCAAAAATAAAATGAGCCTGTTCTGTCCCACTTGTCTGTCTGTCCTGATTACCGCAGCTCTGCTATGTCTTCAAGTCAGGCAATGTTAGCCCTCCGGCTTTGTCCCGCCTCCAACATCATTCTGGTTTTGAGGGATCCTTTGCACTTCCACATGGATTTTAGAATCAGCTTGTCAATTCATGATTTCAATTTCAGTTGTTTCAATTGTTTCAATGTTAAAGTTCAATTTCCGATTGTTTGTTACCAGAATATACAAGTAATGTTGATTTTCGTATGTTGATTAATCATGAGAGATCCCGTGACCTTCACAGCTTATGCTGGTAGGACTTTCTGTGGGTTCCATCAGCTTTCCACACAGATGATTCTGCAGTCTGTGCACAGAGTCAGTTTGGCTTCTTTCCAGTGTGGATGCCTTTTCTTTTGTTCTTGCCTGGCTGGAGCCTCCGTAAGATATTGAATAAGTGGTGAGAGTGGATGGGGTGGCGTCATTCCTGCCCTTGGGGAGAAGTCTCTATCTCTCACCAGCAAGGAGGATGCTCGCTCAACGTCTCTTGCAGGCGCTTCATCAGGTGGAAAAAGTTCCCTTGAGTTCGTAGGTTTTTTTAGGAACAGATGTTAGAAGATTTTGTCAGACACCTTTTCTGCACCTTTTGAGAAGGCGACTTTCCTTTGTAGTCTGTTCGTGTGGTAAATTGCGTTGGCTGATTTTTGAATGGTAAACCATCCTTGCATTCCTGGGATAAAGCTCCCTCAGTCGTGATGCATTATCCTTGGGATATGTTGTTGGATTTGATTTGCGGAAAATGTCTGAGGGTTTTTTGCAGCCGTCTTCATGAGGGGTATTGGTCTAGTTTTCTCTCCTGATTTTGGCGTCAGGATGATGGTTGGGAAATTTTTAGGAAGAACACTCCTCCTGTGCCTCTTGTCTGTCCTCAGTTCTCTGCTATGACACTGCTTCACTTCTGACACCCTAGTGACCAAATGCAAGGGGCTTCCCCACACCAGCTGGCTGTCCTACCGTTTCACCCAAGTCTAACATTATCTACATGGAGGTAGTGTCAGAACCCACAGTTAAGGTCGCACAAGACCGCCCCCCCACTTCAGATGCCAATCACAAGTCCAGCCTGTCACCTGTGCTTCTGACCCACCGGCTAGAGATTGGGGGTTCCCACGGCCCCCTTCTTGGGTTTGATCATTTGCTGGAGCAGCTCACAGAGCTCAGGAAAGCAGTTTACTGGCTAGATGACTAGTTTGTGTCTAAGGAGGTATGATTCAAGAACAACAACTGGAGAGAAGCACAGGGTAGGTCTAGGAAAGGACACGGAGCACCTCCACATCCACCGACCTGGAAGCTCTCTGATCCCCGCTCTTGGGGTTGTATAGAGTCTTCATCATGTAGGCACAATTAGTTCAAATCACTGCCATTGGTGATTATTTGCACGTCCAGCCCCTTACTTCTCCCCAGAAGGGGTGTGGAGGTTGGGGCTGAAAGTTCAACCCCCTAATCACATTGTAGGTTTCCTGGCAACCAGACCCATCCTTAGGGGCTTCTCAAAACCACTTCAGTAACATACACTTGGGAGTGGTTGAAAGGGGCTTCTTGTAAGAGTAACAGAAGACATCCTTCACACATGTATCACCATGAGGCTATTTCAGGGGCTGGCAGCAAAAAGATGTTCCCAGAGTGCTTGTCACAGGGAATTACAGAAGTTTTAGGGGCCATGTGCTGGGAACCATAAGCAAAAACCAAAACACATATTTCTTATAAATCACAACATCCCAGAGGTGTTCACTCATTTTCAGTTTTCTAGAAGAGTTTCTGCAGACTTGATACTATTTTTTTCCTAAACATTAGGTAGAATTGTCCTGTGGGACCACCTGGCCCTGATGTTTTCCTTGTAGGAAGATTTTTAACTACAAAATAAAGGCAGGGCTACTGTGGTTATGTGCTTCTTCTTGAGTGAGATCTGGCAGTTTGGAAACTTCAAGAAATGTATGCATTGTATCTGAGTTGTCAAATGTGTTGGCATCCAGTTGTTCATAATTACATCTTACTACCCTTTCAATACTGTAGGGTCTGTGGTGATGTCCCTTCTCCCATGCCTGATCCTGATACAGATAATTGTCTTGTCTTTTTCTTTTTTCTTCTTCTGGCTGATAAGTCTGGCTGAAAGCTTATGGATTTTATTGATCTCCAAGAATAAGCTTTTGCTCTTCATTTATTTTCTGTATTGAATTTCTGTTTTCTATCTCACTGATTTCTAGTCTTTATTATTCCCTTTCTTCCTCTTACATTGGGTTTCATTTGGTCTTCTCTTTCTAGTTCTCAGGGTGAAAGCTAAGATCAGTGATGTGAGACCTTTCTTCTTCTCTGATATTGGCACTCTGGTACTATTCATTTCCCCCGTGTACCAATTCACCTGTGCCTCACAGCTGTTGATACGTCATTTTCCCATTTTTATTGGTTTTAAATACTTTCTAATTTCCTTTTTGATTTCTTCTTTGAAGATGAGGAATTCAAAGTGTGTTATTTAGTTTCTAAGTTGTTGGAAATCTTCTAGATACCCTTCTATTACCGATTTATACTTTAATTCCATTATGGTCAGAGAGCATGTTTTTATAAGACACTTTAATTGTACTGAGACTTGTTTTATGGTTCCAAATAGGTAAATGCTATTTCTGGGGTTAAAACACTTTTTAAGTCACAGGCTGGCGCAGCCTTGGCAAGTTGTGTGTTTAAGTCTCCAACTGGAGGGCCTGGCACATGGCTAGTGCTCACTGGGCATTATAGGCTAATGTTATAATTTATGGGGAAGGCAGGAGAAGGTAACAAGTTCAGATCTGAGCAGGCAAGTTTGGGGAGCCTGTGAGATGGAGGCTGGAGAGGAGAGTCCCACTGGCCATTGGGGTTTGGGTGTGGGGCTCAGCAGCCAAGCAGCTGTGGGAGCTGATGTGGTTGCATGGGACCTGAGAGCAAGGGTGAGCCTGAAGTTACCAGACTAGGCAGGACATCTCCCAGCCCCTCAACAGCAGCCTGGAGGATAGAGGCAGCTCTAGCCTGTGACCACGTGGGATGGATCCTGCTGCTTTTTGCTCCTGGGGGGAATTTCGGCCCCACATGGCTCTTTAAGGAGGGCAGAGGCTTTCATAGTGGCTCTAACGGAGTCCTGTCCTATTTTGTTCCCAGACTGGAAGAAGCGATTCATTGGCATACGGATGCGGACCATCACACCGAGGTGAGTGTCTGAGGATGCAACCCTGCTACCCCTCCATCCTCATCCCTCTCCTCAGCTCTCCTCCAAGACCCTGCCCAGCTGTGTCCGGCCACCTGCAGGTGTTCCCGAGGGCCAGACACTCAGACTCCCAAGCCTCTGCTCAGGCCAGCCCTCTGCCTACAATGCCTTTTCCCCCTTTGTCTGATTGGTTCCTTCAGCTCCCTCAGGACTCCATTCAGGTGCCCCCTCCTCCAGGAAGAAAGCTTCTATGGCTGCCATACAAATTACCACAAACTGGGTGGCTTAAGACAATAGGAATTCATTATCTTGCTGTTCTGGATGCTAGTAGTCCAAAATCAGAGCGTCAGCAGGTCTGTGCTCCCACTGGAGGCTCTGTGGGGAGTTCTTCTTTGCTCTCCCTGCTTCTGGGGGCTCCAGGTGTTTCTTGGCTTGTAGCCACATCACCCCAATCTCTGCCTCCATCTGCAGATTGTGGCCTCCTCTGTCTGTGTCCAAATCTCCCTCTTCTTTCTATAAAAACACCAGTCCTTGGATTTAGGTCCCACCCTAAGTCAGGATGACACTACCTAGAGGTTCTTAACCAGTTAGATCTTTAAAGACCCTATTTGTACAAAAGGTCACATTCTGAGGTTCTGGGTGGGCATGAATTTTGGGGAGACACTGTTCTACTCACCATGCCACTCAAGTGGGGGGAGTTCCACCTTTTCCCCCCGCATAGCTGTGCTTCCTTTCCAAGCATTGCACTGGCCCCATGGGTTGGAATTGCCTGTTTGTGCCCTGCACCTCTCAACTTTGAACCTGAGCTCCTTGGGAGTGAGGACTCTGTCCTGCTCATCGGTATCATGTCTGTAGCAGAGTGGGTGGCTGGAAACACTGATAGTGAAATAAAGGGTGGTGTGTGTAAGGAAAAGGAGAAAGATGGGAAAGGAAGGGAATCAGAGTGAAAAATATGCAAAATCAAGTCCAAGGATTTGAAGAAGGAGGAGCATTGGGTGCTCTCGGGAAAACTAAGGCATGCTCAACTGATTATACCCTCAAAACTATACAGTCCCTAAAATGATCATTCTTCCCATTTCATTAACTGTTAATCTAGGGATTAAATCTGACAGTCATTTGTAATCAAGACCAATATACCAACTTTTATCTATTAAATGTGTTCTTTCTTTCTGACTTTCATCCATTCATCCATCACACCATTTGTCCATCCATCTATCACACCACCCTTCCATCAGTCTATCACACCATCCATCTATCCATCCATCACACCACCCATCCATCCATCCATCCATCCATCCATCCATCCATCCATCACACCGTCTGTCCAGCCTCTGTCTATCCAGTCCATGACTCACTCATTGCTCATCTTTCATCTATCCATTTATCCATCCTTCCTTCCATCCATCCATCCATTTGTTCATCCATCCTTCTACCTTTCCTTCCTTTCTCTCATCCCTCCTCCCACCCACCCTCCCATCTATCCATCACCCTCCCCTATCCACACTTCTAACCATCCACCTTCAGTAAACTTTCTCTTGAGGATCCCATGTCAAGTGGGGGACACTGAGAAGAACCAGTGACAACCCAGAGTGGTCAGTGGTAGGACAGAGCAGTGTCGGGGTCCAAAGGAGATGCCTCTTCTGGCGTGGGTGGTGGGGGGAGGGAGGGCAGCTTTGTGCCACGGAGGCTCAGAAGAAGTGTGTTCATTGTGGAACTTCCTTTTCAGTTTGGTAGAAGAACTAAAGGCCAGCAACCCAGACTTCCCGTCGGTCAGCAGTGGGATTTATGTGCAAGAGGTTGTCCCAAACTCACCTTCTCAGAGGTAGGCTGCACTACGGGAAGCAGGGACACTGGACAGAAGGCAATCAGACATCCTGGCGGGTGAGGTTGGGTGGGCATGAGGCCTAGGGTGGGCCCGCTTCAGTGACCTTGCGTGACCTTGAGCCACCCCCCCCCCCCAGCACATGACATGGCACAGAAGTGGCAGGTGGGATTCTGGCCTATCGCCTAAGCCAGGGGCAGGCTGGAGAGATGAGGTACCCCTTAGAGCATTGGCAGTGCTCTTCCTCAGCCCACCGTGTCCTCTCCTTTGGGTCTAGAGAGACAGAGTAGTGGAGACCCCCCCAGAGCTCAATCCCCAATCCAGCCCAACTCCCACCAGCTCGGTGGGCGCACTGGGGTCTTCCTGGGCCTGTTTCCTCATCTGCAAAATGGGCACAGTTCGGCCTACTCTTTCTCCCCTGAGGAGGCTTTGTAAAGATCAAATGAGACAAAGCACCCTTTTCTTTGAAACTGCCAAGTACCGGAGAATGGTTGACCGTTTGCAGCGCTGTGAGCTGAGCCAGCCCGTGTAGTGTAGGTGCCTCATGCTTGCACGGCTGATCCAGGCCCCAGAGGGGCTCCAAGCAAGCCCTTCCCTCCTCTGCCCCAGGTGTGTGTCTGTACGGTAGGTGGGCTCATTCGATCAGTGGTCTACACAGTAATCCCCGGAGCTGCGGGTCGTGCACAGGGGGTCTGTGAGGGGCGAGGGCAGGGTGCGGAGTGGAGAGGAGCCAGGCAGGCAGGCCTCCGGCCCCGCAGGGCCCCCGCCACTGAACAGGACCCCTCTTCCTGTTTTCTGTCATGCTGCTTCAGAGGCTGCACGGGTGCTCGGTCCACAGCTGGCCTGCAGTAGAACTTGCTGGAACATAGGTCTGTGAAGCCAATGAGTAGCCACCAAACTCAGGCCCCTTATTCAGGGTTTCAGCAGTTACTGGGAGGGACCCCGGGCAGGCCGCCTCAAGAGCCAGAGCGGTGGGCTCAGTGGCAAGGGCGTCTGCTGCTGACCAACGCTGCCTCATCAGTCAGCCCTCACTGCAGCCTGGACCTCGTAATCTGCAAGCCTGTTCCCACATGGGACTGCAGATGTGGAAACTGAGGCTCAAAGGGGCCAAGTGCTTGGCCTGCGGCAGCCCAGCCAAAAAGGCTGCAGCCAGAACTTGAACCCAGCCCTTGTAATGTAGAGAAGAAGCAGGCTCACAAAGCACTAGCCCATTGGAGGACATCGGTTTCCATTTGGTGTGAGAACCTTGCGGTCAGGACGCTGTTCTTACCTGTTGAAATGATTTTTCTTAACTGCTGCTGTTTAACCGAATCGTCCCCTGAGTGGGGTCCCAGCCTCGCGGGGATGTGCAGTGACTGGGTGTCTCTCCATTGGCAGAGGGGGCATCCAAGATGGCGACATCATCGTCAAGGTCAACGGGCGCCCTCTGGCGGACTCGAGCGAACTGCAGGAGGCCATCCTGACGGAGTCCCCTCTGCTGCTGGAGGTGCGGCGGGGGAATGATGACCTCTTGTTCAGCATCGCGCCCGAGGTGGTCCTGTGAGTGTGGGGCCCCTCCCCATGTCGCCACGTGCCAGAGCCTGCAGCCCGGGACAGGTGCCGGCCGAGAGCTCCCGTCCAGAGCCACTGACGCGCACAGGGTCAGGACGAAGGACCAAGGACGGTCCTCAGCAGGGCCGGTGGCCTCCTTCTGGCCATCCAGGGGCAGAGCCACAGGCAGGGCTTGGCCAGGGACCCACCTCAGCCTTCGGGAAGGTTGACACTCCCACATCACTGTGCCACGGGGGCAGCCGGTGTCCCCCTCGTACAGATGCTCCCGACGGCCACCTTCCAAGTGCCCGGGATATCTAGAACACCCCTCTGGAGTTCCCCACAGGTCCCACCCTCCCTTCTACTCCCCTGCCTTTATACCTGTCCAACCTCTGTCTAAATGCCCAACCTGTGCCTACCCCACCCCCTGCTCCCACTCACCTGCTCAGATCAGTTCCCCAGCCTGTCCTCCCCGACGAAGGTCTCCCAGCCCCTGCCCCAGACACCACAGTGCCCACCACATTGAATGACCAAGGCTGTCGCTCCGCCAGCCTGGAGGACCTGGACGGTGGCCGCGTCTGACCTGCTTGGGGCGTCAAGTGTGGGGACCTGGCCCAGAGCAGGCCCCTAGGGGATGTCCCCTGGTTTCCCAGCCCAACCCTGTGGCTGGTGATGAGGTTCACCTTCCCAGGCGGGAGAGAGACTGGCCAGGAGCAGAGTGTCTGGGAGGCTGCTTGTCCCCCTGGAGGTGACAATGGGCCGGCGGGCAGAGGAAGTGTCCTGATGGGGGGAGGGGTTGCAAGGACTGAGCCGGCTTCGCCTCCCCTGCGCCGTTCTGCACGGGGCCACCGGCTCACAGAATCGGCCCCTAGAGCGGCTGGGGAGCGCACATGTGTTGAGGTGTATTTGTGAGCTTCGCTGTATAGTGGACCCCCATTTGCTTGTATTATATGTTTCTCTACTGTGTGGAAATTAAAGTTTACGAACACATGGTCCTTAGCCAGCAGGGGACTCTGGGTAGCCCACCCCCCGGCCACAGCCTCTCTTGGATCCAGAGCTGACACGCCAGCCAGCCAAGGGCCAGGGACACCACCCTGAGCTCAGGGGCATTGGGCCAGCTCCCCGACTTCCTCCTGGTCTGTGGTCTCAGGCAAGACGCTTCCCTGCCCCTGCCCTGTCCTCTCCCTGGGGGAGGAGGGACACAGATGCCACCGCCCCAGAGGTGAGGGGCCGAGCACTTGGAAAGGTGCCCGGCTTACAGGGCGCCCCACCTAAGCCGCGCTACATGTCCCCTAAAGCTTCTCTGTATCTGCTCCAGGTCACCTCACCACAGACTACCCAGCGATGGGGAAACGAGGCAGGAAGAGACAAAGCAGATTGCCAGACGCGGGGGGCTGCAAACAGGGCATTGAGAGCTATGACGTGCCCAGGGCAAGCCCCCCGGGTAGCCAGTGGGAGCACCAGGGTGAGGGTGAGGGGCGCCAGCAGATCTGAGAGCGAGGGGCCCAGGCCTGGGTTCTGGACCACCAAGCCCAGGGGGGATAGAGACCCCCCTGGTCCAAGCCTCGCAGGGCGGCAGGGTCTGCCCCCAGCTGGCCTCTGGGCAGCCGTGTGACCCCGGCCACCTTCCCCTTAGGGAGGGGTGAACAACCGCAGGACTTCAAGCCCCTCCAAGCTCCGAGAGCCTGAGGCTTAATTTAAATGAGCCCGCCACAGGGCAGTTTTCAGGTGGCCTCAGCCAGTGTGGCAGCAGGGGGAATTCTGTGTGGTACCTGGAGGGACTCACGGGACATCCCTGGAGACAGGCATACCGGGCGTCAGTGATTGTGGGTCCAGCCGGCTGTGTGCCCTGTGGCCGGCCAGTGCGATGGGGAGAATCGGACCCAAGAGCCCCTGGCCCCCACACCCGGAGAAGGACCAGAAACTCTCGCGAGCAGCTTTTAATGAGGACGCTGTGCTCTGGTTCAACACCCCAGTTTTACAGTCCGTGAGCTCCGATTACCGCGTGCACCGAGCACTTGTCCCCACGCTCGGGCCACATCGAGGCTGCGGGCCTGCCCTGGGGGGAGTGAGGTCCTGGCACCCGGCTGGCCTGCGTGAGGCTGAGCTACTGTGTTCAGTGCGGGAGAAAACCCTCAGGCTGAGGAGGGGCATGAGGGCCGCAGGTCCCCGAGCTACCACTGATGGCTGACAGCCCAGAACTGTCCCTTGCAGCGGCAGGAGACCTCAGAGGTGGTGGGGGTGGGGGGCCGCGGGCAGGGCACCAACGGGTCTTGTTGTCCAGGATCTTGGACATTTCAGGGACTTCGCCCCCAAGTCTGGAACTGGGATAGACCGGGCTCCCCAAACATGGCCTCCAAGGGCATCGGTGGCAGCCGAACTGTCAGCTTCACTCCTTCCCCGCTGCCGCCACCCCGAAACCCTTGAGTTTGGAGGGCAGGGCCAGAAGGAGGCAAGGGCAGGGCACAGCAGGGCGGTGGTTGTTCCCCGGGACGAGCAGGGCTCGGCCGGAAGGCACCGGCTTTGCTGTAGGCAACACTGAATTAAATGTCATATAGAGGCTCCTGGTTCAGGGTCTGGCCCCCAAAGTGCCCCCAAATGTCACTTCACATCCCTTCACTCCCTGCCAGCAGCCTCCTGGATGACCAGGGCCATCCCCCCCAGCTTCAGGTTGTCCATCTGGGAGGTAGAATGTGGGAGGTGGAGGTCTCTGAGCTCAGGGGTCAGCCCAGCCTGGGTGTGGTCTTGGCTTTGCCCCTTTCTGGCTGACCCGTGCTGGGGACTCCAGCTCTGGGCTTCTGCACCCAGGAAGGCTGGGGGCTGCAGCAGTGGGAGTGGGCTCTGCGGCGGTCAGGCCCTCTGTCCTCCACCAGCCACCCAGCCCTGCCCCCCACACCCCAAGCTGGGAGGAGCTGACTTCCCTGATGCTCCTCCAGCTGCACCCCCTGAAAAACAACTTTTCCAGAGCCTGCCAGGGGCCGAGCGCTGTTGTGCAACCTTAATGCTCCTGACGCAAGCACCGGTGGCTGGGTTTACAGCCCACCGCTCTGCTATCTGTCCTGGGAGCTATAAACGGGGTGCTGACAAGGGCAGCGCCCTCAGGGAGGAGCACCCTGTTCCAGCCTTGGGGGCCCTTGCAAACACCTGGAATCCAGGAAGGACAGGGCCAGAAGGAGCATCACGGGTCCCTGGCTCCAAATGCCCCATTGGACAGGGGCGGGAACTGAGGCCCAGAAAGTAGGACTTGGGGTCACACGTGAGCTCCTGGCTGGCCTCCAGGGGACCAGGGCTGGGCTGAAATAGACAGCTGTGGCCACAGCTGCAGCAGGACAAACATCCGCCGCCTGAGCGCGTAGGGCCAGGCCAGGTTCTCCAGGAGGGGCAGATCCTGAGGGTCACGGCCTCATCCTCCTTCCAGGGCCCCTCCCTACCCCCAAGGGGATTAGTGGATCCAGAACACGGGTGACCAAAGATGGAAGCTCTGGAATGGGTCAGACGCCAGGAAAACCGCAGGGCACCTGCCACTGTTACCCTGGCTTGAGCAGTACCTGGGGACACCTGCCCCAGCCCTGTGTCTATGTGGATACGCCTGTTCCCCTGCTCTTGGTCCACATTCTTCAGGTCTTCTGGGGTCTGACTCTGCACTCTCTCCCTCCACTCCACCTGCTTCCTCCAGCCTTCACTGGATGCTGCCCAGGCTCCCTCGTGCCTGCTCTGTTCCCTCTGACCATCTGCATCATAACCCCGGAACCGCACACACAGCCAAGGAGACCTCACAGCCATGGTCAAGTGAAGGCTCCTGACATGGGAGGTTATCCTGGATGATCCGGGCAGGCCCTGGGGTCACAGGGTCCTGATTGGAGGGAGGCGGGAGGGTCAGAGTGGAAGACAGAGGGTCGGAAGCAGAGGCTGGGGGATGTGAGGAAGGGGCTGGGGTACACAGGGAGTCTCTAGAAGCTGGAGGACAGGGTTCTCCCCTGGGGCCTCCAGGAGGACCCAGACCTGCCAACACTCTGACTTTAGCAGAGTACATAGAGGCGTATACACAACACACGTCCGTGAAACTGTTCAGCCGTCAGTTGCACCAATTTTCGGCATGATGCATACCTGTGGACATTTTTTTTCACTCCACACATCAGGGTTACACCTACTTTTCCTGATTCAATTTCTTTCCTTTTTATACATTTCTTTTCCATTTTGGTTGAAATGTTTCCTCCAGGAAATGTTTTCACAAAGAAGTACGGGGGGGGGGGCGGCGAGTGAAGAGCTGACATGCTTGGAACGTTTTCATTTTTTTCAAATCATTTTTATCATGAAGCGTGACTCACATACAAAAAAGTGCCCAAACCTAACACTTGAATGTACAGCTGACCCTTGGACACTGTGGGTGTTAGAGGCTCTGATCCTCCATGCGGTCAAAATCCACATATAACTTTTGACTCCCCCCAGAACGTAACTACTAATAATCTGCTGTTGACCAGAAGCCCTACCAATAACAAAAAACATTGATGAACACGTATTTTGTATATGTATCACGTCCTGTATAAGAAAGTAAGCTAGAGAAAAAAAATGTTACTGAGACAATCGCAAGGAAGAGAAAATACGATTACAGTGTTGTTCTGTTCTACCCAAGAAAATCCTCGTCTAGGCAGACCCTCAGAGTTCAAACCTGTGTCACTCAAGGGTCATCTGTATTCTCAGAAAGCAAACGCACATCACCACTCCCAGGAGCCAGAGCACTGACAGCCTCCCACACTGCCACATCCCCCCCACAGGCTCCCAACAACCCCGCTCGGTGGTAACCACCCCCTTCCGGCTCCTTCCTGTCCCGGGTGCCTACCTGTCTGTTAGCTTCCTGACACGTGATTATTTCACGTTTTACACTAGATGACTCTTGTGCGTGGAGCACAGGAGAGGTCAAATTTCACTTGTTCCATGTGGATATATGGGCATCTAATTGTCCCATAAACAATTTATTTGAAAGGCACGTCTTTCTTCCTTTGCCATAAACCAAGCTCCCATATGCGTGTAGATCTGTCTCTGGACTCCTTTTGCCCTATTGATCTTTCTCTGGGTCCTTGCCCCAGCACCACCCCACCCTAGTTATTTCAGCTTTATGATAGAATTTGTTATCCAGTGCAGTAAAGCCACCATGCTGTGCTTTTTCTTCAAGAGTGCTTCACTCTCTTGATTCTTTGCTTTTCTGCATACATTTTAGAATAAATTTACCAAGTTCCACCCCTTGTGAATTTGGTTAGAAAGGCATTGAATCTATAGATCAGTTCTGAGAGAGGTGACAATATGATATTCAGGCTTCTAATACATGAACGTGGGTGTTCCCCCATTTATTTGCATTTTCATTAATTTCTCCAAATTATGTATAATTTTCTGTGTAAATAGCTTCCATCTAATATCATAAATGGTATCCTTTAATTTTTGTTTTAATTTCCCACTTTGCTGGTATACCAATTTATTCTTAAGATTTCTTATTTTTCATCATGTTTTATACTGGCCTCATAGACAACAATCTTGCCAAAATCGCTTGTTAATTCTCACAATTGATTATTTTGGATTTTCTACATACTCAATCACATCACATACAAATAATGAGTTTTATTTCTTCCTTTTCAATCCTAATACCTTTTACTTCTTCTTGCCTCACCGCACTGGCTAAACCTCTAGTTCAAGGTCATGCAGAAATAATGAGAATGGACATTTTAATCTTGTTCTTGATCTCAAAGGCAAATCTTTCAACATTTCACCATTGAAAACAACGTTTGCTGTAGGTTTGTTGTAGTTACCCTTTGTCAGCTTAAGAAAGTTCCCTTTTATTCCTAGCTTGCTAAGAGCTTTTATTATGCATGAATACTGACGTTAACAAAGCCTTTTCTGCTTCTACTAACATGATCAAATGATCTCCTCCTTGTTCTGTTAATGTAGGAAAATGCATTGATTTTGAAATATTTTACCAACCTTGAATGACTGGACAAAACCAGATT